GTAAAATAAAAAAGTAGTTTCGTTTAAATAGTTTAGTTTAAATATACTCCTTGGTTCTTTCGGTAAAGTCACGTAGGTAACTTTACCGAAAGAACCAAAGAGTATGGATTTCTGCAGTCACGAAAAGTTTCAAATCAAGATTAGTTTAACTACATCTCCTATATCTCTGTAAATTAAACCACTGAATAATGATACGCATGCAACAAATGCGGCATGTAATATTTCTAGACCGAAAATGGCTGCAGTGTTCTCCAGAGCCATTCATCATCAACCCAGTGAAGGTGGAATGTTGGGCCAATGGTTCCAACCACATGCCAACGTTGGCCCAACGTTGAATGTTTACTGGGTAAGATGCCATGCTCCAGAGGTTGCCTAAGTTGTACAGTGTACAACCTCGCACTTTAAACGTGGGAGACCGTGCGTAAACAAGTGTTTGTGAAACGCATGAAAAATGTGTCCAGTTGCCCAAAAATATCTTTTCCAACCGGTCTCTGAGACGCCTTCAAATATATGTGCGCATACATTCGAGCCCTTTTTGTCAATCCCACTGGGTGGATGAAAGCCTCGCCACGCCTTCCCCATTCTGTCATGCGTGGTGGTAGACACATTGTGATATACACACCGGCGTGTGTGACTGTGGTCACTCAGAACAGGCCGTGGGACGTATAACGACTCAATGGCCAATTCGCAACGACTTAAGGAAGCGTTATCACGGTAGTGATACACCGCCCTGCTACTCCCGGACGCAATTATTTGGCTCAACAACCTCGATGTAAGTGTACATCCTTGCTGTACATCGACATTAGCCGTACGATGAGGACGACTGTTATCCAACACTCAATGTGAATAAGGTACTTTGGCAGAGGTACAGCTTGATGAGAAAGATAATTAACACAAACACGATTTACGTAGCATTTTACAACACTTAGCGTTCACGCTATTTCACCAGGGTCGTCCAGAGGTTTGGGACAGAGGGAACATTTCGCCCTGTGCTTCACAAAGGCGCTGGTTTTCATCGCTAATGAATAAAGAGGGGCTGAGAGGGGGGGAGGGGGGGAGTCCCAAGTGGTTCAATGCCCGGGGGCCCCTCCAGGCACCTCTTAGGTATCCCTTGGGTGGTTCCACTAAATTTGGTGGCTCTCGTGTAGCGGCGGTCTCGTCAAAAACACAAGCGGGCCTTCCCTCCGCGACAAAGTTCGGCAACCACGCGCGGGATATGAAGGCGTCGTCGGCCACTCGCTTCGTTCTCCACGTTCGCCGCCGTTTTAGTGAAAAATAAAAAATAAACACTTTTTCAAATGTTAATGATAACGAAACATCTGCCCCGTGTTAATCAAGCATTGGGGGGGGGGGGGGGGGGGGAGGGGTTGATTATTTATCTTTGTTTCTGTCATTGGGTGCTGGTGGTGGTGGAAGGGGTGAGTTGGTGGTGGTGGTGATGGTGGTGATGTGAGTGGGAGGGGGGCAGCAGTTGTTTGGGGGGGGGGGGGGGCTGGGCGAGTTGTGGGGGGGTATCGGGTAGGGGGGGTATCGAGGGGGGGGTAGTTTATTTATTTATTTTTGTTTCTATCATTTGGTGGTGGTTGTGGTGGTGGTGGAAGGGCTGGTATTGGAGTGGGTGAGTTGGTGGTGGCTTGAGTGGGAGGGGGGCAGCAGCAGCAGTTGTTGGGGGGAGGGGGTGGCTGGGCGAGTTGTGGGGGGGGGGGGTAGGGATACCGGGGGGTGGGGGGGGGTATCGAGGGGGGTGGTGGGGTGGGGGGGGGTTGCCTGACAGTCGCCTAGTGATGTAGCGCCTGCTGCCATCACAGGCGGTTGCCTGGCAACCGGCGCCGCTCCGCAGCTGTCGTAGGGCCTCGTGTTCCGCAAGCAAAACCGCTCACTCAAGCACGACGGCCTCACCAGAACCAACCGATTTGAGGGGAGGGAGTGGAGAAAAAAGAGAGAGAGAGAGAAAAGAGAAGAGAGAAGAGGGAGCAGAAATGCCCAACGCCACACTCGTTAAACCTCGCCTCATGCATTTTTATGGAGTCTGGGCCTCATCGCACGTATACATTAGACGCGCGCGCGCGCGCACGTGCACAACAAAGACGAAGATCGTCACGCCACATCCCTCTCCCCCCCCTCCCTCCCTCCCTCCTCCTCAATCCACCCACCACCCTGCTGACCCCCATTAGCCTCACACACAGGCTGCTGGGGCACAGTGCTGTTAGCGAGCACCTATTAAGGCCGGCGCGGTGATTGAGGCTGACGGTGTGCCCGAAGGGTCACGCCTGGCCGCTTTGTTCATCCTCCCGACGGTGCCGTGTTACATCCCCGCCGCAGCGGACACTTGTTTCATGCTGAGTCGACCTAAGGGCGGCACGGTGGGTACCGTTTCAGATATTCGCCACTGATGGCCACACCGTGCCCAGGGCCACCTTTGTGTTTGTTGTTTTTTTTCCCACTGCTTGCTGTTGTTTATTACACAAGCGTGGGCCAAAGCAGCCCCGTATGAACGAGCACTTAACACTCGCGTGGAGACATGACAGATCAAAGATTTGGCCACAAACACGACGGTGCGCTGTTGGAAGATTTTGCTGGGGTTTTTTTTTCTCTCTTTCCCCTGGATTTTTCTGCTGCTCCGTAGTCACTTTAAGGTGTTTTCTTTGTTCGTGTTTTTGTTTTGTTGCGGTTGCACCCAAGTCAAGAGCAGCATGGCTCACAGGGTTATCTTCTACATGTATATGTAAAAGGAAAAGTTGTGAATGTGTGTGTCTGTTCAAAATGCTTAGCGTACTTCCCGACATGCAACACATTTGAAATTTGCCATGTGGGTACTTTCCAGACTGTACACCATGCAAAAATTATAAAAATACAATTTTTTTGGGGGGAGGGAGCTCAATGCATTTATTTTTTGCACGGCAAGTGAGCTGTGACGTCACATCTGTCGTGTGACCCGCGCACGTGGAAGCGTAACGCATTGTAGTGTAGTGGTTAGCACGCTGTGTGTGTAATGTGTGTGTGTCTGTGTGTGTCTGTGTGTGTGTGGGGAGCGATAGTGTAGTGGTTAGCGCGCCGCGCTACGAACCCGGCGACCCGAGTTCAATTCCCGCTCACGGCCACCACCGGTGACGATTATTTGAACCGGGCCTCCCCATAGGTCGACTCAGCCTCAAACTGTTGTGGTGTGAACATCGCCACTGGGGAGACAAAGGCGGCCGGGTGTGGCGAATCCAAGTCCCGGGCGAAGCCGGGTAGTGCAGCTAGTACCTAATAAATGCAACTGAACCTTAACAAACTGGGGGGAGGGGGGCGAGCGATGCCAGTTGAGTATAAACCCGTGGGATGACAGGCGGTGGCACGTGCGTGCGGGCAGGAGGGGATGCGGCGAGCACCACGTTCGGCCACTTTGATTTCCCAAAATTCTGATGTTGTACGCAACTGCGCCCGTTAGATGCTTTGCTCACAGTACTTTCCCCAACAGTCTATCGGGGTAAAATGCAGGGTATTTGTCTTTGTTTTAAATGAGTGCATGCAAGCGAGTACGTTACGGAATCTTCTGCTGAACTTTTCATGTTTTTTTTTAATATAAACTAATCTTTTAAACTAAATTATATTTTTATTTTAACAGATAAGGCCCACTGAGCTATTAGGCTAATTTTTCAGAAGGCGCCTGGCCTGGCCACAACGAAGTGGCTTGTCACGTGAAAAATTATAGCAGCTAAATACTTTAAACGCGTGTTTCTAAATGTGGAGGGAAAATCCGTAGAACCCGGAGAATAATCCACGCGATCACGGGGAGACACGCGCGTGATCGCTGCCATCTTTCAGAGAGCTGATATTTATATGAGTGAATGCAAAAATGTAATATATTTTTTTATCTCTCTCTCTATTTGGAACCAAATAACATTTTTTTTTTCTTTGGAAACAAAAACAATCCACTAATTTCATATGCCGATAACAAAAAAAAGTCTGTTGAACAAGCGACCGGGCTTAATGGCAAACACAGGGGTGTTTACACAAGTTGTGGGAAAATATGTAGAGGTCTCCGTCTTCCACCACAGTGTTATTTACACTTCTGGATATTACCGCGCTCGGAAAATGCCACTGCCACGATAGCTCAGCGTCGGATGTGCACGGGCTACAGTCCACGGTGGAAAAAGAACACTTTTTTTTTACCGACACAACTGCACGCGCGGGCGAAAAAAGGCGCCTCTAACGCTAATTTAGTCCACGGGCCAGGGCAGAAATCGGTGCCACCTACGGTAGTAAAAACACACACTTCAGCCGGACCGATTTACACAGCGAATAAAAGTGAATGATTTTATAACCCCCCACTCGTGTTTACATAATTCACCATCATTTGTCGCTTCAAGAAATCGGAACCGCGAGCGTGATGCCACCTCTGATAGTATCGACAGGCGAAATATTTACTCTGGGCTCATGTTTTCGGGTTGCGCGTCATGCGTGTTGTCCGGCATGATGGCACTCATAGATTTTACTGCATGGGAGGTGCGATATCAGTAAATGATGATTAGATCTGAGGTTTTGCACCACGTGCCAAACACAGTTGCTGAATGGTGCCAGCGCGTGGAGTAAAACGTCGGATGGACATCGTGCTGAACAACATTTGCTCCAACCCAAAAAAACACATCGCAGGGCTGTGTTTTTCATTATGTATGTAGGTTGAACTTCTTTCGCACCGTACGTAGCCAACCGTGCTAATCGGGCGAAGGACAATTAAACACAAAAAGAACAGTTCTAAAGAAATGAGCGTTCAATCTAGATAACTTAAAAAAGCATGAGCTGCAGTGGCTTCCAGACGGCCGCAGAAGCGCATCCGAAAGTGTGCGATGCGGTGAACCTTCTTTGTAATCGCCCCTCGATTTATTTACAGAACGCTGTTACCTGCTGACACCGGCAGCTGTCATCATAAATACAGGTCACACATGTCCATGTTTAACGAGGTTGCCTTTCAAGCGCAGTCCGGGAGTATTTAAAATAACTGGTATACGCCACTCTTAAAAGATCAAAGACTTTTTATTGACTGTACAACATTAAGTATAAAAATGTCCCTCACACTTGCTTACACGTGAGCTTCTGATAAACATTTTAAACTTGCAGTGGAATGTCAGGGATTTCTCTTTCGGGATCCAAACAACAACAAAAAAAGGGGGGGGGGGGAGGGGAGGGCATCACTCACGTCTTGAAAAATTCCTAAAATGGAAAGAACGGCGCATGAAAGAAAACATGTTGCGTGTGTGTGCGCGCGACACTCATGAATTAGCCTATGACAGTGCATACATATAGCAGTCACTGCACGTCAATTAAGTCTCTGAAAAACACAAGGAAGGTGGGGGGGGGGCAGAGATTTGTTGACTTATTTTCGTAGCAATTCCTCAACAGATTTCAAACCGTTTAATTTTTTTTATGCGCTGCCTACTACCACACCGTAACAAACCGCCTCTTTCCGACTGCCAATTACACCGTCCCTTTGGAGCGGACTCTTCCACGAGGAATACGGGGAAGGATTCGGCCCGGCCTAGTGCACAGAGAGGGGGGGGGGAGGATAAACCGAGCACTTTCCAGAGCGATCGAGAGCAGAATGGAATCCCGAGTACCTTCGTAAAGGGTACGCGCGACCTTGCAAAAAGTACCTTGACTAAAAGGTGCACACGTAACAGCAATCGAACACAGCAAAGCCATGGAGGTGAACACATTCGCAGAAAAAAAAAAGTCTCCCTCGTCAGTATTAAATACAACAGTACCGTCCGTGGAGGGTATTCTTTAGAAGATATCCTCGGGTTATTTCGGAAACTACAGAAGCAAGCCAAGGCTGCTAGTGCATAACATTGTTTTTTAATGTGTTTGTTAATTTTTTATTATTAATTCTTTTACTTTATTTGTTCACAAACGACAACAGGCATGCAATGTTATTGAGACCCACACTCTGCACTAGTTGCAATCCCGGAATGTTCCAACTTCTTCCTTAAATCAAGCTACAGCCTCTGGAACTTCGTAAAATGTGTGCAGACAACGGACGCACGGAAATAATAAACAACAACAACAACAAACAAACAAAAGTACAAAACATCAAGCTCAGTCTCGGACATTACGGTGGTTTGCACTTGCTGGCAAAAATAAAACAGCCAAGGTGAAATATTTCCCATTCCTGGGGCCATTTGCGGAGATAAAACAAAAAGCTTCTTCTCAATGAGCCGGAGTTTTTTTTTTAGGAAGAACTTAACGGGCAGGGGGCCACACATATTGCTTGATTGACGTCACAGCTGAGAAAATCCGGCCCTCCACACAACGACCCTGGGAACAAGGATCGTCGTCGGCAGAAGAGGAATATCACAACGGCGATTCTCTCCACGATCTGGCTTTCCCTTTGTTTTAAGTCTCCTTCAACGTCTCCTTCTTCTCCGTTTGTTGTTGCTTGAGTACCCTGTTGCGAGAACAGTTGTGTGTGGCGTGGTCTTCCGAAAACCGGAGCAAAAAGGAGAATCAACTCGAAACAGTAGAAGCAGGTGTTGTCACAGTCGGTGGAACATTTCTCATAGGCATGCCACGCATTGCAAACGGTAGTTTCATTTTTTTTGTTTAAGGACACACGAAAAGGAAAAAAAAAACTAAAAACTGTCTCTTGCATGCCAGTAAGCATATATTTATAGTGTTTTCACTGTCTCTTCATTTATAAATAATACAAACGGCAAATTGGCCATCCTGCTGTTGCTGGTCCCTTTTAAATAGAGTGTCGCATATTAATCCCTTGAGGGTTCGTCGTGTTTTACTTGGGCAAGGTCCTTTTGTGGGGCAGTGGGTCGTCGAGATCTATGACGGCATGGTTTCTTCAGAAGGTCACTTCAGAACCTGAAAATAAAAAAAAGTAAAAACCCAGTTATTCACGCTGACCGAGGACGTGGCAACGGTTCGTTCGCGGAAATGCGCTTGCGTCGGAAAGATGTGCCCCGACGTTTCGCTCCGCCTGCTGGGAGAGGGAATTCACGTTCCTGAAGTGGCCACCGAAACGTGGAACGGAACGTCGGACGTCATGCCGAAAAACGCGCGGTGCCTCCGATTGGCACGGTTGGCTACGTACGGTGCGAAAGAAGTTCAACATACGTACGCACGTACAACCCCAAAAACACATCGGACAGCAATATCCACACAAGCAACGGCTTGTGCGGATATTGCAAAGATCAAACAATTGGAAAGAGCTGATTCTCTGTGCCACTGTTAAACTTTAAGCATGTAGCCGCACAAGCTGACTTAACATAGTTTGACATTATTATTTTTATGCATAAATGAATGAACACTGTCATTTAATACCACGTGGGAGCTCATTGACATAGGGTCTCAGCTTTTTGCTGAATATGGTACATTACAAATCTTGGATTGATTTATTGTATGTATGATTGATTCTATGTATGTATGTATGCATAGTCCAACATTGCAAAGGCAAACAATTGGGGGAAAAAACTTGAGTCATTTAAACCACGATTACTTCAGGTAAATGGGTATTCCTGGTTCCCAGCTACAGCTAGCATCATTGGCAAGTGATATCTGAGCCCAATGGGCTTCACCAACCCGCACTGACCAGCGTGGTGAAGTAAGATCATTAACTCCAATAACCAGCAGTGGATTGACAAAAGTGCATTGTTCTGTTTTTCTTAACTAAGTTGAGACCTGTTTTATACTGGTGTTAAGCACGATATCAAATAATAATAAAGGATGACGATGTCTGGACAGTTGGATTTTATAGCACAAAAAAACAATTACATTTTTGAAAGTCACACCACCATCGCCACCATTTTCATCATCATCATCACCACCACCGCCATCATCACCAAGATCCCTGGATTCAATCTTCAGCGAAGCTTATGAACCACAACCATAAACCGCATCCCCACAATACCTTGGCAGCAGATGCAAATACATCATGATAATGATGATGCACAAATGGAAAATTAAAAACTATTCCACAGTGTGCAGAGTCTGTGGTCACCACCCAGAAGAGAACCGTGAACTTATAATGACTCAATACCCAATTCACAAATACGAAGAAAGCATCATCAGAGCGATGCACTCCGCTACTCCCGATCCAATAATGTGGCTCAACACCTCGATGTCAAATTTTAGTTGTTGTTCTACATTAACATCAGCCGCATGAAGAAGAACCATCACCGCACCACCGCCACCACCATCATCGTCATAGGCATTAGCGTTACCTGGAATTTCTCCGCAGACTCTCCCGAGAGCTGTGTGAAAGTGACACGGAGGTGTGGGGCTGTCAAAGTGCCGAGTCGCTCCGTAGGTGAGCGTGCCTCGCTGTTACGTGTCGCCGCTGTTTCCTCGAGGTCTTGCCGTGGTTGAAAATTCGCATAGCAAACCCGGTTCGCTCAATGCATTTGCAGTGCCTATACAGTAACATTGATCAATTTTAAATAATATTTACAGCAAAAAAAAAATTCTCTCTTTTTTTTACAGTTTTTTTCTTTTTTTAAGGGGTTTGCTGACTTAGGTATAGCTATAACATATTTTGAATACACGTAAGGAAATTGTTGGTAATCGATGTTCGGTGGAAAATCCCAGATTCTGAAGTAACCTGCAAAATCACACCAGAGAGAGAGAAAAAAAAATGTGATTTGACATTTTCCACAACCTTGATTGTAACTCCTACTAACTTTAGCCTGGGTACGGCTGCGTGCGTGAATTGGTCTCAGCTGACAGCTAGGGGTCAAGTCACAGAACTTACAATTTAGGAGCACGCAAAGGTGCATTGCCACAAACACAGCAGGATAGCACCACTCCCGTCATGCTTTGCAAGCGTGTCATGTAATCGCGGCGCTGTACGTTTCAATTCTCTCTCAGCCTTGTCCAGACCACCGGCTCAACAGGACTACAATGTGTGGCCGTATTGTCGTTTAGACCGCCAACTCGAAGACTTGGAAAACGTGGGCGGCCCCAATAGGCACACGTGCAGTCATACCCGAATAAAGTTAAGACTACGAAAATAAAATTTGAAAAAAGATTCAAACGCATTTTTATTCCATGCTAACATTTCCGACATGACATTAAACGCTGCATTGGAGTTCCAAAGAAAACACTACTTAAAGGCATTGTTAAATCCAAGTATATGAAAGTACATCTGGATGTAAGCTTAGATCAGGGGTGGGGAACCTTTCCCTTTGGTGGGCCACACACACACACCTCGGCGTTATTCAATAACAAGAACAACACTGAGCATACACTGAGTAGTGTATAAAGAAGAGGGCCTTGCGGTGACAGTATTGACGGAGCGTGTTAAAATTATGAACACAGTGTTGTTGCCAGGTCTGAAATATTTCCCTTTCAGGGATGGATAAATATCGTTTGCAGGTCATTTCGAGCGGTATGCTTTGTGTGGTATGGACGCTTCAGTAGAAGTAGTGGGTTGCATCTGGCCAATGGCCTATATGTTCTCCATTCCTGGCCTAGATGTACAGACCTCTGTTGGTTTTAAATCCTGAGTTCAGTGCATGCTCCTACTCAATGTGGCACAACCAAAACTCCAATTTGAAAATTTACTTCAACAAATTAAAAAAAAAGTAAAAAATATATATGGCAGTGGCGTGGAGCAGTTGCACAGTGGTTAGCACACCGCGTTACGAACCTGGCGGTTCTGAGTTTGATTCCCGCCCACGGCTATAACATCGATGACAAGCGATATCTGAACCGGTCCTAGGCGCTCCCTTTTACCAACAAGCACTGACCAACATGATGAAGTACAGTTAAACAACCCCCCCCTCCCCATGTGCCACTTGGCATGATTACACTAACGATGACCCACATCTTCAAATGTACGCCCGAAACCGTGGAACTTCTCCGCATCCCCCACCACCCCCCCCCCCCCCCCCCCCCCGTACAAAAAGGGGCTTTTGTACCTCAGTAGACACTTCTCGTGTTCTCAAAGGACACTGGTTCGAATTGTTTGTGAACATTTATGCAGCTATAGCTTCAGTGACCTGCATACAGCGCGTGTTTGGTGGAGGACCGGTTTTGTCCTTAGGCGACGTATGACACTCAGCAGTTGGTTAATTGGGCCGTGCCACGGCAGACAATGGCCCACTCTTAGCGAGAGTGTTACAGAATATTAATAGGAAGTGAGTGGCCAGGAGCACCGGCCCCGGCATCCCCAACTCAAAAGACGTCGGCGCATCACAATGCACGGCCTCCTCCTCCTTGCGTACGGCTTTTGTATAGCGGCTCATGAGTCCATGTGCAGATCTGAGAGCCAAAGCACGGTCCCGTAGGAGGAATCTGAATGGACGTCTTCAACGCCTCTGGTGAATTTAACCGGGGTTCACAATGGCTCTCAATGTGGTCCACCGCGATTCTCGTCGGGAAACAATGCACCGCGTTTGAACAGTGTAGCATCGCGACCACAGTTTGAACCGTGTCTCTAAAGCCAGCGTCCAACTGCTGAGCGATCGATTGCGCGCAACTCGGTTGCAACCCGGTTGCGACCGGTTGTGCGCAACTCGGTTGCAAGCAACTAAACCGCCTGTAAGCGGACGTCTCACGGTGAAGACGGACTCGACTTTTCAAGCTCCCGTCTGCTCGGCGATTTGTAGCGACGTATGTCATCGCGTGGTGCGTTTGTGAACTCGGGATTGGTTGTGGAACCTGGTGGAAACTCTGTGCAAAAATGGGACTTGTGGACCTCAACGAGCTGTGGTTGTTACCATCCTGCATACGCGGTTTTCAACGATCGTGGAATGTATACATCCACACTGGAGTTAGCTTTGTATTCGGGCATAAGGGATTTGCCAACAGAATACGCCGTTAACATTCGTTTCTGTGCCACCACTCACTCAGATGTGGTCAAAGCAGTGGTGGGTGATGATTGCTCAGGAGTGGGCCCAGCTGAAAAACAGTGTCTCACAGAAGGGATGGTGAGAAGATGTTCAGTCCCTCTCCTGGTATGGCAGGAGGTCGTGGATTCGATCCCAACCCTGAGCCTGCTGTATATTTGGAGTTTGCATGTTGCCTCTCCTCGTGGTCACGTGGAATTTTTTTTCCGGGTCCTCCGGTTTCCCCCTCCACATTTAGAAATGCGCGTTTAGAGCAATTGGCTGCTATGAATTCACTCATGATAAGCCGCCACTTCGTTGTGCTATCGTTTGTGGCCAGGTCGCTTTCTGAAAAAAGAGGGGGTATTGCTCAGTGGGCCTTACCTGATAAAAAAAATAAAAAGATAGTTTAACAGTTTTTTTTTTATTTTGGTGCTTCTCACCAACTGCCAGTCGAGCCTCCTGCCCAGACTCAAGAACCACGCCCCACGTAGGCTTGGAAGCAATTGCCAAACGATTACCGAACGCGGTGTACGGAGGTATTAGGGGCAATTGCTTGAAACAACTCTTACCTCCATTGACCTTGCACGACCCGACTGCTGAAGTCACATGTAATGCCACTGGCCCTCCATGCCCATGCCCATGCCAGCCATGGGCCCTGCTGCAGCAACACAGACATTACGGGTTAACCACACGACACGGAACACGTGCTATTGGGTAACGCTGCTAAGAGGGGGGAAGAAACGACTAACGAATGTGCATAATGGATACAAAGAATGGATATAATGAATGTATATTATGACTATAATGAATGTATATAATGAATGTACGTAAATCGAGAGCTGTCACAACTTGGGATTGAACCGGAGAAGTGTCGCTAAAGTTACATTATTTTGCATATATACACATGTATATCCCCGTGTGATGTTGTCACAATTCATAGCATGCCTTTCGCTTCTCATCTTACGACTGTATTTGCGAGCACAATAACGCTGATTCCTGTAACATGCTAGAGCCATGCTTTCAAACTCAAGACTCGTTTGACATAACGTTGTGTTGAACTCCTTCCATGTCGTACGTAGCCAACCGTGCTAATCGAATGCATAATAAAGAATGGTAAGCTGTTATGATGAATTGTGGGTAACGAACTATAAAAACTAGGTGTAGTTCATCAGCCTATGGTGCTTCTGGAATGATATTTTAACAGGCCATACTCTGCTGATGAGACTCAGAGCAGTCGAAACCAATGCAGATATATTATTAGAAGGTCGATACGTTGCGTGGATGCTGTGCATTCATCTGCGCCTTCCTCTTTGTTGCCCGCTCCCAGTACCGCTCTGGCTGGCCCCTGGACCCCAGTGCAGTCGCATTGGCTGCACACTTGATGGCTACACGGCTGCTCTTACAGAGACAAAGATCCCCCGTATAGCCTTAACATAATGTTGGGGGCAAGTGCTGCTAGCGAGCACCTATGAAGGCCCGCACGGCACACGAGGGGTGGGTGGCTAGCACCACGCTCGGCCGCCTTTGTCTCCCTCGTGACGAAGTTTTTGCACGTCGCACAAGGTACTGATTTGAGGCTGAGTCGACCTAGGGGAGGCCCAGGACCGGTTCAGATAATCGTCATCGATGGTGGCCGTGAGCGAGAATCGAACTCGGGTCGCCGGGTTCGTAGTGCAGTGCGCTAACCATTGCACTGCCAGATCCCACACAAAAACACGCACGCACACACGTACGCACGCACACACGTACGCACGCACACACGTACGCACGCACACACGTATGCACACACACACGTACGCACGCACACACGCACCCATGTACGCACGTAAGTACACACGCACACACGCACGCACGTACACACGCACACACGCACGCACGTACACACGTATGCACGCACACACATATGCACGCACACACATATGCACGCACACACGCACGCACACACGCACGTACGTACCAGGCGGATGGAGGCCCATGTGCTGCTGCCCGTCCATTACAAACCCTCCCAAGTGCTGCCCGTCAGGGCTGTACCCCGAGCCTTGAGCTGAGAAAGTTAAATAAAATGTACATAATTATACATAGTATATATACATATTTAAAATGCCAATTTTTAATATAAAATGGGCTAATTAAAATTCAATGTACTGCAGTTCACTTTGTTTAAATTCTCCAACAGACGATAAATAATAGGTGATGGTTCACGTAGTGGCCATTCGTCATAGCAGCGGGGCCATTGCCCAAAATGTCACCAGTTACACGTGGTTTAGTTCCCCCTTTAAGGGCCACAGTGCTATTGACGAATTCATCGAGGCTTTGTGATTTGTGCTCATACACCACTGCCAAAGCAGCCTCGCAATTGTTTCGTACAACCGTCGACAATACGTTAGCAGCTTCAAACCAGCAAGCGACGAAACATTTATTAAACAGCGGTTCACAGCGGTTCACAAAGCAAGCAAAGAAAGCAAAGAACAATTAAGCGTGCAAAATCGTGAATAACGTTTCAAGTGAAAAACAGCACATACCTGTTCGATTCGACTGGTCAATCATAGGCTGAACTATCCTTCGCCTGGCGTTGATAAACCTACGCAGAGAGAGAGAGAGAAAAACAAAACGCAAAATTAAACAAAGGCGATCGGTAAACGAAGCGTTAGATTTTTATTTATTTTTGCAAACGGACGCTGCCATTTTTTGGGAGTCGGAGTCTCCCAGAAGACACTGGTTTCACTGTCGGGCCGGGCAGTGACAGCTCATGATAAACGAGCTGGGAGGTCAAATCGCTACGGCGTGACATCACCCGCGCGCCAGCCTCGCTTCCAAGCCAAGCCAATCAGAGGGGGGTCATCACGCTGAGCTGAGCGTTCCTCTTGGCACAAGGTGTCTCCAGTTGGAGGAGCTACTGGGACCGTTAGGAATTCTCCCCCCTCCCCCCCCTTCGCTTTATAGCAGCTGCTGCGTTATTAAATACACACATATATATATACCGTATTCTAAGGCTTGTTATAAGATGCTCCGCAAAAGTAAAACGCACCACACAATCGCCAGTATCTGCCTTCAAGTGGAATAAGGAATTCGCTCTCAAACGGCATGATCGTTAGTTCGGAATAAACTCGCTATTAATGTCCGCTCCGCTCGCTGACAATGGCGTCGTGTGCGCGAGGCCGAGAGACAGTGGTGCACCCAGCGGAAAAAATTTGCAGGAGGGCAAATCGTTTTTCCTTCCAACAGCACTGCCATATTCTCTGGTTTATAAGACGCTCCAGAATGGAAGACGCATCCCAATGCATGTGCTCGATGTCAATGGAGTTATACAGATCTGATCTCGCGCACACACACACACGGGATTATACGATGCACCCCCCAACTTTTGCTTCAAATTACAGAGAATAAAAAGTGAATCCTATAATCCAGAGATTGCGGTGTACATTACGTATAAGGGTACTCCATTTATAGATACCCCGCTAAAATAATAGGGTAAAATTATAAAGAGATCAGCCTTTTATTCAAAGCCTTTACATATCTCCCACCAAACTCGATGCGCTTATTAAACCTTCTGAACACAGTCGCTCTGTAACACAACGAGCCACCGCTTTCACCACATTCAGCTTGTCGGGAAGTCGGAGAAGAGGGGGTCATTAGCGATCGGTGGGGCATCTATAAACGGATCGCCCCTTACATTCGTAAAAAAGAAAAAAACAACTTGCAAGTCCTCGAGCGGCGCGGGAATCCCTGGCCATCGTTAGAGACGCTCGCAGACTCATCCGGAGCTGTCAGTGCGCTCGGAGCGCAGTTCACAAGTCTCTGCCTTTGAGCCTCCCTCCCATTGTCGCGTCTGCTGCCTCATCAATTACCCCGTCGTCGTCTGGGAGTTTATCACCACGGCGGACCCCCCCCCACCCCTTCCCCCACCTCCCCAGGCCAGCTCTACCAGGGCAAGAATAGCGAGTCTGGATTTTATTTTGCTTCTCATAAAGATGCCGGGTCATTTGGAGGTCATGCCAGTCGTGCAGCAGCCTTTAAGGGTCCCATTTCGGTGCCAGTTTTAACAAGCGGCTAGCAGCCCCCCTCCCCCACCTCCTCCCCGCCTACCCCCCCGCCCCGACCCTGCATGCCTGCGACCATAAAGAGAGGATCAACTATGCCCCTCCAAAATATAGAACTCCTCTTAACCGCAACCCCCTTATCCGCAACTCCCATTACCTGTGGGAGATGTAGGTTTCGCAAAGACTCATATAATCAAACTCCCTATAATCTGCCTGTTTCCCTATCCTGTCTCCCTGTGTGTTTATTAGCGTGAAAGCGGGCCAAAAAAAATTAGGGAAAATTTCACGGATAACAGGAGCCGTGGTGTCCGTCCCCCACATCACCACGGATAAGAGTTGCTCTGCTTAAACACCAATTTCTTTTGGGTTGGGTGGGGGGGGGAGGTAACTCATGACACTACAGGGGGAACCGCGACAGTTTTTCGGATCCGCTGAATAAATAAAAGAGATGCAAGGTCAAAGAGAAGCGAGCTGCCAAACAGCCAAAACATGCAACTACTGTGTTATTATTTTATATTATGCAGAGGGAAACAATAAAGCGTAAATTGACCATCACAGCTGCTCTCGAGACAGAAAATCTGCGTGATTGACGGCTGTATGCAAATGCGGCGGCAAATGTAGCTATCAATGCGGCTCCCCGACTCTCTACTGACCCCTTGTCTAATTTTCCGCAAATCACAGGAACGGCTTCGCAATTACCGGCCCTAAACCGCTAAATCGCTTTTTCTCATCCTCTCCCCCTGCCCATTGTCTGCTGCGGGGTCGGTGCGAAGTCCCGGTTGTTGCAGCCCGTTGTGCTCACTGGCACCAACCGCTCAGAGACGGGAGATGGAGCTACCACAGTGGGGAATATTTGTGAAGACAAATTAAGTGAGTTGAAAACGTAGTAGGCTTTAGCGACCAATATTATCCATATACAGGGGTTTTATTGGTTTCGTTTTTGGGATAGATCGCGTAAAATATAAATGTGTGCCGGTAAGCCCGCCACCGCTCGACACAGCCAATTAGTAAGGTGTGTCAAGTAAACAAAACGTGACAATTAGTTACTACGTCAGCACAGCGGTACGTGTTGGAGAGTAAACCCACAACATTTACAATTCAAGTACGATGTTTTGCCAATAATTACGACCAGCCTCATCAGGCGACAGCCAGAACTGTGGAAAAAACCTCCTGTTTCGGTCTTAAATAAAGTGAATCCACTGTTTTCCTTGGGAGAAAGCAAGTTGAGGATACAATGCCAGATAATCAATATAAATACTCAGTCCTCTAGCAATCCACTGCTGGATGAAGGCCTCGCAATACCGTGCCAATCGTTAACACAGCAGCGGTCGGTAACCAAAATAACAGGAATATCCATTTTTCGGAATTCGGTAAACAACTTAATATTTCAAGAGCTGCCAATGTAATGTGAAAACGAGACGGTGGGTCCTTAATAAATAACGTCACGAAACAGCCCTTAAAGAGCCGCATGCGAGTTACGGAGCTGCAGGTTGCCGGCCCCTGATGATGGGGATTGTTTGACCGTACTTCACCACACTGGGTGTGTGAGGTTTTGGGGTCAAGACCGCTTCAGCTATCACATGCCAGTGGCGTTAGCCGTGGCTAGGAATTGAATTCAGGTCCCAAGGTTCATACATAACACAGCATGCAATTCACCGTGCCTTCGCTCCACTGCGATAGAACGATACGATACAATTTGGATTTGAATAGCGCATGACTACAACGGGCATCTCCAGACGCCAAACAGAGAAAGCGGGACACCACAGGGATTGAATGGCCAGGAATTGAACTCAGGTCACCGAGTTTATAGCACAACACACAAACCGGTATACCACCACGCCACCCTCAAACGGTAATTGCTGTATGTTAAAAATATTTGTTGTTGAAATGTGTATATATATTTTACAATACTGTCATGTGTGGTGGGCAGTGTGCTTTAGTCAATGAAAAGAATAAGGTGTGTTGCCCTTGGTGTGTTTTTTTTTTGCATACATTAATGATAAATCTATATTTCCTAAACTGCATGAATAGCCACTGATGCGTGTTTCTAATGATGCACCGTGGGATGGGATTAGCAACTTTTTTTTACCCGTGTGGGCACACCATGGGGATAGCTAGTAGAGTCAAGGATATAATGTATACAAAAAGACACGGGAATGGGAAAGGGAAGAGATGAGATATATAAGAGGAAAAGGATGGAAGAGGACTGGAAGACGGGCAACCAAAGGGGGTTTGGAGAGATGAGGACAGGCAAGAAGAGGTTACATAAGGGCCAGCGAAACTGATGCACAGAGGGGCAGAGTCTGTTTCAGAGGGGCAGAGTCTGTTTTCACAGCGGGCAGGGAGGGGGGGTGGGATTCAGAGTGGGGGTGGCCACACAGAAGTCACGTGATTTACGGAAGGCTCGAGCTGATTTAGATAAAGAGATGTAGTATAACAATGCACTCGTGGTCACAATTGCCTTAATATTTTCAGTGATGCTAAAAAATTAAATGGAGCAGAGTAGTGGCAGTGGTCAGTGTACTGATCTATGGACCTCTTAACCAGAGTTTGATTCCTAGGCATGGCTAACATCAGTGGAGCGTGATATTTGAACCGGTCTGAGATTACCCCCCCGTCAACTTCACCAATCCGCACTGACCAGCATGGTGAAGTATGGTCAAACAACCCCCTGTTGTGTGGAGAGGCCTTCATTGTTCAGCAATAAATGGATAAAGGGCTGTATATTATTATTCATCAGCCATGGTCAATCTACTGCCGGATGAAGATCTCCCCAAGCAACCTGCCACTATCTTGCGAAGCAACAAATGTTATGATGATAATATTGTTCTTTTTATATAGAACAAAAAAAACAGAGAGTCAATTTATGTCATCTGAAATTTTTTTCTGTAAGGTGAGAATATCACATGAAACAAAATATATATAAAACGTCAAAATGTACAATTTCTCCGAAAAAATGTTTACTCAACAAGCCCCTTCCGAAAAAGAAATAAAATCACAAACGTTAAAAATATCGGAAGATTGCGTCAAATAATTACCAATGCCAAATGTCAGAAATCTGCGGCCGAAACCCCCCGGTTTAGACCGCGCGCGAGCGCCGACCGACGGCACCGTCCAAAGTGTCAGAAGCTCGCGCGGAGTGCCCATCTCCACTTCACATGTAAATCCCGGCCCGAGAATACCCCCACAGCCCCCACCTGCCCTGCTCAAATCCCTCCCCCCCCCGCCCGCTCGCCCCCCCCACCCCCCCCCGACTCTCGCACACGTTAAAACGCCTGGCAAACAATCCGTGATCAACATTAACAGATGGTTTTAATATTTAAAATGTTTACCGTGTGCCAAGGACTAGAATAATGAGGGCTTAACTCTACATCAGCAATCCCTGGCTCTTCACTGTGGGCCTCCCTCTCCCTCCCCACTCTCTACCCCCTCCCCCTTTCTCTCCACGCGTTCTCTCTCTCTCTACGCTCTCATCTCCACTCCCGCCCCCTGCTCTCGGTTTCAGATGGCATCGCAGATTTACACGCCCCCCTGCTAATCT